TGCAGGTTTCCACTTCATCGAATCGAGGCGCCGGGGCCGTGCTTGCCGACGTTTCCGTTTCGACGCGCATGCACTTACGGTTTGCAGTGAAATGATGCCAGCAGGGCCGTTCAGCAGGTCGAGGAAGCACTGTAGACTGGCCGCCAGCAAGTGGATTTCACCTGGAGATCCCAGCTCTGGAGCCGCTCAGCTGGAGATGCACTTGCTTTCAGCAACGCTGCCAGGAAGCTGGCGGCGAAATCTGGAGTGAGTGCCGCTGCACTCTGCACATTGCTGGCATCTGCACTGCACGCTAGGCCGCTAGGTTGCTTGCATGAATGTAGCCGACAAGTATATTTACTCAACACTATCAGACACAGGGGGGCGTGACAGATGCCACTCGAATTGGCAGCCGGCCCCTTGGGGGCCAACTGATCAGTCCTGTCTTCCTCCGTGGCGAGGCTGCGGTTCCAAGCAACTTGAGGGCCGCACAATTTATATCGGCTGATCAGTAAGAGAAGCAGGTGTTTTTTTTGCTGAGTTGCAGTTGCAAGCACCAAGCCTTCCCAACCCCCCCCGAAGCAAAGCAGGTCGTTGGGCAGTGGACCCTGCACGAACCACCTTCGCACGTAGGATGCTGTTGGGACTCGACAGAGCCTGGTGCGCTGAGCTGGTCTTCGCAGGATTCGAGGCTAAGATAGACTTGCAAGAGGGTACAAGATGTACAACGAGCCACCTCGGCCAGCTGAGAGCGCCGAAGGCTCCAAAGGCACTTCACGCCGTTCCTGAGGCCCAGGGTTTTTCTCCCACGCGTGGTTTTTTCCCTGGGCTGTTGCTGCGCACAAGTCTTGGTACATGTGGAGTACAGCGTATGCCGATCTCGAGCTTCTCCAACCTTTGAGGACCGATGTGGGGGCCGATTGTGTTTGGGGGTGTGCAGCCGTAGGCCGTTTCACCCATGCCCGCCAATGGATGCCACTGGGAATGCCGAAAAGCAGGCGTGACTTTTACGAGGTCTGAAAGGTGTGCGATCAGGCTGCAGCCTTCTAGGGCCACGAACCCCTCAAAACCCTGTGCATGCGTCCTCCGCGGGAGCACGTTGCGTGTGGTGTGCGCATGCCAGCATTGACTTGAAGGTGCAGAGCGCGCGCGTGGGTGCGTGCGTGTGTGAGTGCGTGAGTGAATGATGGATTGTTGTGGCCCTCCGTCGCCAGATGGTCGCTCTGCCTCTACTTGAATCCCAAACGCCAACCGAAGGGAAGGACAGTCAGAAATGCTTTCACGCTCTCTCTGGTGCTGCACGTGGCCCAGACTTGTCAAAAGAGCAAGCATCAGCCCCGTTCACGGAAGCACTCCAGCCTCAACCGGCCCAAACCCATGGCGCTCTGGACCCTGCACCTCCCTCAACCTCAAGCTCGCGCCACAACTCTACACCGTAAACCCCCTGAACAACCTCTCTCTACCATACATACACTCCCAAGCCTTGCCTTTTAGGATCATCTCAGCCCCCCGGCGCATGGGCTGCGGAGCGAGCAGCGAGCGCAAGTATGCCGGGGGCGCCGTCGGGGTTCGGAATTGGTGGGGGCGGGGGGGGGGGGCCTATGAATCCAGGAAAGGCCTCTATACACTCCCTGCAACTACATGAGCCCTCAAATCCACAGAATCTGAGCCTAGAATCCTCCTTAGCACCCCAGCCTGGAGTGCGAGCTGGGCCCTGCAGTTAGGGTTCCCCAAGGCCCCCTGTCCTCCAAACCCGAAGCCCTAAGCCGTGATCTTCCATGCAAGATCATCGGTAAGCCCTTCAACGCTTGACCGCCGGGCTGCCAGACAAGGGAGTTCACCGCCCAAAAGTGGCGATTCCTGATCACCCCCTTCCGGTGATCCGCGCTCCACCAACTCCCTCATCTGCTGCTTGGCGTTCTCAGGGCTTCTTCTGAGCTTGAGCTTGGAGAGGGTTTGTGATGGATCCAGAAGACGCGAGACTTAAGACTTTATGCTGGAGTTCTGTGTTGAGCTCGTGTCGGGGGGTTCGGGCTTGTCTTTGCTCTTGTATCCACTCCATGCTCTTGCTGGCAAGCTGCGCATGACCTCACACCGCTGAGTGCCCCCTCAGCCTTGAGAATTCTTGTTGTCATTCGTGATTGCACTCTAGCTTTTCTCTTCACCCTTTCTCTCCCCCGCCTCTGTCTCTCTGTGTCTGTATGTCTGCCTCCCGCCCCCTCCCGCTCCCGGATGCCCCCCCAAAGCCCCGCAGCCTTGAGAACCCCCCAAGGCGCCCGTGGCCATGAGTGCCACAGAAGTTGCCGTGCTGGAGGGCCTCGAGCCGCTTTTCCGAATGGAGACCGGGAAGGGCTGACGCATGTAGGCTCTTCTGTCAGCTTCCGGACAGAAGGGGTCGTGGAAGGAACATGCGCGGCACGTTCGCATCCAGTGTACATGACACCTTGAAGCCGGAACATGCCCTTGTCAGCACTTGAGGGAAAGATCTGGACAAACTTGTCTTTCTTGGTTTCTGAGGCCTATGCCCCGAGTCACCAGCCCCACCTCCGCGGCCGGCGTGGCCTGCACCAGCGACAAGGAATTCTCCCACCTTGTGCACAAAGAGGGTGTTTTGTTGAGGGCGGTTTCTGGCTTCAGAGGAGTACAGAGATCCGAAACTTCTTGGAGGTCTTTGGGAGGTCCCGCGGCCCCGTGAACGTGCGCAGCCCGAGACCCGACCTTTCCCGGCGCAGGTCGTGCAGGGAGCTGTGACCACCACACGCCGCACGATGAAGATCGCAGGCGCCGTGCGCTTTAAGGGCAGGTTTACTTGGTTTTTTAATGGAGTTCGGGGGGTTCGATGTTCCTGCTCTGGGCACAGCCTCGCCCCAGATCCTTCCCTTGAGAAGCCTAAAGATTTTCCCATCCCCGTAGCCACAAATATGCGGTCCCAACTTTCCGCCCTGCAGAGATGCGCTAGAACAGCCCCGGGCACCGTCAGGCCTCGCCCTCTTCGCGATGGTCTTTGTCTTCGCTTTCTTCGGTCGCCTGGGCTTGGAAGGACAAAGATCCCGGAGCTCGCTTGAGTCACTGAGGTGCTTGTGGAGTTGTTCATGGCGATTTCGGGGATTTCGGGTTCACGACATCCACTGCCACCGCCGCTACCATAGCAGTACCACACACGCTGCTACCACCCGAAACCGAAGCCCTCTTCATGGTGCCCAGTCAGCCCTAGCTTTTTGAAGCCGAGGCTGGCCCACGAACCTCCTGGAGGATGCAGCCACGCACAGGAGGCGGGGCCATGAGTTCGGCCGTGAGAAGTTAAGGGTTTCGCTGCATGGAGTTTGTCGAGTGTGGGTCAACAGGGTGTGGAATAAAGGATCTGTAGCCCTAAACCCTAAACCCTAAACCCTAAACCCTAAACCCTAAACCCTAAACCCTAAACCCTAAACCCTAAACCCTAAACCCTAAACCCTAAACCCTAAACCCTAAACCCATGTTAGGGTTCAAAGTTCAAGGGAGGGTCGAGGGAGCGACCCGAACTTGCCCCTAACATGAGGACACAGGCTGGCAGAAGCCCGCACGTGGACCAAAACTCCCAAAGGACCTGATTAGATGCCAGACGCCTCAAGTGGGTTTGGGACGTTGTTGAGCTCGTCCACAACAAAAACATTGAAACCACTGGTCGAAGACCGGAAAAAACTAACACCACGAAGCCTTCCAAGACCAGACATCTGGCCGCCCGCCCCCCCCCCCGCCCTCCCCCCAAAAAAAAAGAAAAACAGCTGCAAGCCGTTGCGCTTCAGGGAGATTCTGAGGGTTTATAGAAGTTTAGAGGGTTCTAAGTCTTTAGGGACTCGGAAGCAACGACAGAGAGGAGCTTGTGTTTTGGGTTTTTAGGCTTTGCAGTCTCTTGTGTTTCTTTGGGTGTTCTGAAGCTGCTTTGGACTTCTCAACTCCTCGCCAGGGTCCTGGCGGCACTGTTCATCACTGGCATCACGCTCGTCGCGCTGGAGGCTCTTAGGGGCCTGTTGAATGAGGAAGGGATGTTTGGGCAATCCTTCGTCCACATATTCCATAGGCGTTTTGAAGTCATAATTGTATGCAGCAGTATGTCGAGATTTGAAAAGGGGGGGGGGGTGGTGATGTTGGTAAGCGTTCAGGCTCAAGGACAAGAGAGGTGCTCGGGGCCTAGAAGGCCCCTTTCAAGCCTCCTTAGACACGTAACTTGAACCTTGGAGAGGCATGCCCAACCTGGGCAGGGGCGTGTTTCGGGGGGTCTACTTGGAGGTTCAGGGTACTTGCTTTCCAATGATAGCTGTACTTTATAAGTGTACCAAGTAGAGTTTACAGGTCTGATGCCCTTGAAAGTAGGAGACCAAGCAAGCGGCGAGGACGTGCTCCGGCTGGACAAGTCGGCGATCATGCTCGTCCTTGCGTCCGTGAGCCTGGGCGTCAGAATGTGGGGCAATAAAGCAAAGGACCCTGATGCCTCAAATTGGCTTCACACGCAACGGGATATTGTGCAGCGAAATCCCAAGAGACATCCAAACCTTACTATCCCCAACCCGTTCTCTACATTATGGGTTGGTCAGACAGGGCCCATAAAGGCCTATAGTCCATACACCTCTATGTTTGAGGGCTGTAGGGCTCGCCAGACGAGAGGCTTCAAAAAGCGGGCGGCGCTGAAGGCTTAGAGGGTGTTCAGGGAAGCGTTTAGTCCACCAGAACCCCAAGTCTTAAGCCTTATAAAGCCTACCTACATCCCTGAACCCCATAGCTCTCGCATGAATTGCAAGGATGTGGACCTACCACGCTGCGGGCATTCACGCCAGGTCTGCGGAAGGCGACATGGACACTTGGGGCTGGGGAGGGTTTACATACATAGGGTGCAGGATTCACAGGCTTCAGAGTTTGCAGGGTTTGCATGAAGGGGGGTTAGGGACTATTCGGTGGGTTCTGTGGGTTGTCACCTCTAACCCCTGTACAATCCCTTCAAACCCTCTAAGCCCTTTCAGCCCTGACCACCCTTTGGCCGAACGAGGGTACTCTGGGCTTTTTGGTTGGGCTTTAGGGTGTCTGTTAAACCCTGGTTTAGGGACTTGGGGGCCTAGCACAAAGCCCTGAAAGGCAAAGCTCAAAATCCCAAGTGCCCTAAACTCTAATTCCCCAAACCCCTAAGACCGTAAAACCCTAAAACCCGAAAGTCCTACGAACCCTAAAGACCTATAGTTACCCCATAAACCCTAAACCCTAAACTAATTCGCGGCCTTGACGGCTGTGTAAGGGTTTGTTTGACCCAAGGCACATACCCCCCTTGAACCCTAAACCCTAAACCCTAAACCCTATAAAAGAGAATGGGTTGCTGGACCCAAGGCCACGAGCTTCTGGAGGAGGAGCTGATGAAAGGGCTCTTCGAGGCGCCCCTCCCCCACCAAACATTCTTTCTTGGGTTTAGGGTTTAGGGTTTAGGGTTTAGGGTTTAGAGTTTAGGGTTGAGGGTTTTAGGGTTTTAGGGTTTAGGGTTTAGGGTTTAGGGTCGAGGGTTGAGGGTTGAGGGTTCAGGGTTCAGGCTTTAGGCCCAACACTTCAGGGTTTAGGGTTCCAGGGTGGGCCAAGAGGTTTTGTCTTATCCCTCAATACAGAAGGGACACATTGGGCCTAGCAGTGCCCGGTATAATGACTGTCAGATCTTCAGAGTGCTTCTCTGCACGCCCACCCGTATACCTACTTGTTTTGGAGCCTTTCCGGAGCCCGTCCGCCTGGCCACCGATGACAAAACAACAGCGGCTTATAAGAGGGCTTTTGATAGGGTTATCTAACGGTCATCCGGCTCGCTGGGATGCAGGGTTGAGTTTTGTTTGGTGCTTGTTGGGAGGGCTTTTGGTGTAAGATATTTATGTGTGTGTGTGTGTGTGTGTGTGTGTTGGCGGGGCTTCAAAAAAGTAGTCAACCTAGGCTCGGCCAAAATCAAACCCAAGCCCCAAGCCCTGAACAGGTCGGAAGCGTCATCTTATTTCTGCTGCCAGCCATGTGTGTGGTTGAGTCCATCGACCACATGTGCCCTGGCAAGAAGGTTCATGGAGCTGACCTCGAACCTTCTTCCGAGGTCTCCCAGAATCCTTACAGACACCTAGAAGCCCCATAGGCCACGTATTTACCCATATTTACCCTAGAAGAGCAAGCCCTTTAAGCTCAAAATAACGAGCCCTATGCAAGCCCTTCAAGCCCAAAGAATCCTTAGTTGTGCTCAAAAGCGCCTCAGCAAGGAACGGCTTCGCCGTGGTCACGGCTTTCATCGTGCGCCGCACGCAAAACAAGGCCGGCCGATCACCTAAATGCGGTGTTATAAGGGAGGGCCTATCGGATTATCGGATCTGGAAAGGTCTAGGGTGTATATTTATAGGTGTTGAGAGTTTAGGGGGCTCAGGGCTGGGGGTTCAGCGGACCCAATCCCCCAAAACGCACGAAGGAACGCTCAGCCCTGCATACCGCGCCCATTTGGAAGGCTGGGAGGCTGATGCCCATCGTCTGCATCATCGCCTTCTTCCTCAGCTCGGCGGCTCTCCTTTTAGGGAGCAGGGGGGGTGGTTTCGGATTTGGGTTTTGGGTTTTTGGGTTTAGGGTTTAGGGCTAAGGTTTAGGGCTTCAAAAAGTTAGGGGCTGCGGGTTGAAGTGCGTGGAGTTCGGGGTGAGGTTTGGCGGTTGAGTGTCTTCGCTGTTGGGATTTTGGACTCCCAGGGCTTTTGGATGTTGGCCTGGGATGAAGGCATCACAGCGATTGGTCTGGAGGAGGCCTAAGAACACAAAACTTGCAAAGCCTATACCTCTGAACCCTAAACCTTAAGCCTTACACAAACCCCAAACCTCATGAACCTTACAAGCCCTTAGCCGTATAAACCATGGTAAACCCAATACGAACCCCTAAACCCCAAAAACCTTCAAAAGCCTAAGGCCTACAGACCCTTAACTCTGAATTAGGGGCTTTGCCGGGCCCGGAGCATTTGGCGCTTGGGGGAGGATAGTGTTAGGGGTTCAGTGTCTTAGGGTTTAGGGTTCAGGGTTTAGGGTTCAGGGTTTAAGGTTTTTGGGGTATTTAGGGGTTTGGGGGTTTAGGCTGTTTCCGGGAAGCCCTGCACAAAAAGGTGATCGACAACCTCACCGCCACGATCGTATGCATCAAAATTCTGCAGCGGGTGGTGCCCCACAACCAGGAGTTTGGGCCCAGCAACGGTTTGAACCCTAAACTCCCTTAAACCCTAAACCCTACATTCTAAATCCTAGACCCTAAACTCTAAACCCTATAACACGTAATCACTAAACCCTGGACCCTAGACCCTAAATCCTAAACCCTAAGCCCTAAACCCTAAACCCTGAAGGGTTTCTAGGGTTCGAAGATTCAGGGCTGAGTTACTCAGTGTTCAGGGCTTCCACTTCCAGGCTTGGGGGAGCTTTCTGGGTCCACAGGAACTATGCTGTCTGGGCAGTGTGTTTCACTGCCGCACCTTTTGGGAGTAAACTCCCCAAACCAGTTTAGGGTAATTGGAGGGGTTTAGGGTTTAGCGTTTAGGGCCTCCCTTCGGCTGAAGCCGTAGTGTGTAGCGGTAGTGGGCCCCAAGATAAGACAACCGCTGGGCCGCGAATGCCTTCTCAGCTCCAGCGTGAGGACTGGCGCCATAGCTGCGGAGGACGGTCGGGGTGAGGATCTGGGGGCTTCGCGGGTTTGCGGGGCTCTGGAGGTCTTTGGGTTGGTTGGAGGTTGAATGCTTTAGGGCTCGGTGAGCCCGAAAACACCAACCCCCGAAGCCCCAAGCTCTAGACTCCTATACAAGCCTCTATAAACCCTATCAAACCTATAAACCCCATAAAGCCCTATAACCCTATAAACCCTATAAACCCTATGAACCTTTAATACCCTATAAAACCTACAAACCCCTATAAACCCTATGAACCCTGTGAACCCTATAAACGCCCAGCTCTCTCTCAGTGTTCTGCTGTGGCGCGCCCTCCCTGAGGCGTCGTCGTGGTGGCGGCAAATGCCGGAGGCGCCTGGAGCCCGCGACCAGGCCGCAGCAGCATCCCTTAGATTCCACGAAGCCGACCTCAGGGTCTGAAGCTAAATCGCTCAGGGTTTAGGGTTTAGGGTTTAGGGTTTAGGGTTTTAGGGGTTTAGGGGTTTAGGGGTTTAGGGTTTAGGGTTTAGAGTTGCAGATTCAGTAGTTTCAGGCTTAAGAGGTTGACACAGGGGTTGAGGCTTGTGTTCTACAACAGGACTGCTTAGGATTTCGGGTGACCCTAAACCCTAAACCCTAAACCGTAAACCCTAAACCCTGAGCCCTACACCTTAAACCCTAGACCCGAAACCCCTAAACCCTAAACCCTAAACCCTAAACCCCAATCCTTTGGGACTTAGGATCGGCGACGTGACCACCACCATGCTCTGGATTCAGCACAAAGTCTCCACCGCAGGACGTGTTCCTTAAGGTTCTAAAGGAGGGACCCTTATACCCCCTATATAAGGGATAGGTTCCAAAGGAGGGTCCCGTATACACCCATATAAGGGATATGAAGGTTCTGAAGGAGGGACCCTTATACCCCCCATACAAGGGATCTAGGGGTGATATAGGGGAATAAAGGTAAGGGTCCCTTGTAGGGGTCCCTCCTTACTACCCCTTAAGTTCAGGTGCGCGCTTTCGGTTCGGACAGCTGGGGAGGCCAGGATTCGCAGGGTTTCAAGTTCTGCAACCTGAATTCAAATCACGCTGTAAGCTTCTCTTCTCGGAGAAAAGCGCTGACCCAAAACGATAAATCCGATACCCCCAAACCCTCAACTCAAACTGCTGTGCTTCTGAAATGCTGGCTGGTTCTTACCAGACCCTAAACCCTGAACCCTAAACCCTAAACCCTAAACCCTAAACCCCAAACCCTAAACCCTAAACCTAAGCCAGGAATCATCACATGGACCTTCGTTCCTTCCATGGTGGCTGGCTTCATTCCCCTCTTCGGCATCTGGTGGCAGGCATGAAGCTCTCTGCTCAACAGCCCTGGACTTTGCTCCTTAGGGCTAGGGTTTAGGGTTTAGGGTTTAGGGTTTAGGGTTTAGGGTTTAGGGTTTAGGGTTTAGGGTTTGGGGTTTGGGGTTTGGGGTTTTGGGGTTTTGGGGTTTTGGGGTTTTGGGGTTTTGGGTTTAGGGTTTAGGGTTTAGGGTTTAGGATTTTAGGGTTTGGGGTTTCTCAGCGCCTTGTGCAGGCCCGGCGGTGTGGGCCGAAGTTGCAGGCCCGGTGTAGCGTGGGGAGAATTTCAGGGCTTCAGGGGCTCAAGGTTTAGGGTGCCAGGGTTCCAGGGTTCCAGGGTTCCAGGGCTTTGTAGGCTTCAAAGCAGTGTAGAAGTAGTGTGAAGACACACTCCTTGGCCGACGTCAAAGCGAGAGAAAATCGAGCCGTAGCCAACCCGAGGCAAGCGCAGCCGAATCAATCACAGATGCAAGTTTTCAGTTGTGCGGGGCGAAGAAAGCCAACGAAGTTCACGGTTTTTAGGTCTTCTGTGGGCAGACCTTCTGGGCCCGAAGGGGTTATTCGGTTGTGCTTACGCCTTACGCCCTCAACCCCAGAAGCCTTGATCACTGGGCTGTGAAGGGCCCTTAGTTTCTTTAGTAGTGTCATCCCAGTGCCATGAAAGCCGGAAACCCGACGAATTGTTCCTTTCTTCCCGAAATTCACACAAAGAACTAAGCCCCAAAACCTTCCAAAACTCTAAATCCCCTGAAAGCCCTAGAAGCCCTAACGCCCCGAACCTTAAAGACAACCCTCCAAAACCCTAAAATCCCTATGAAAGCCCTAAACCCTAAACCCTAAACCCCAAACCCTAACAGCCCTGGACTCTGCCGCCCCCCTCGGCCTTGAGTAAGGAAGGCGTGGCGCCGCCATGCGAAGTGGTTGCCCCTTTGCTTCACCAAAGGGTTTACGGGGCTAAGGGTTGTTGAGGGTTTAGGGTGGTTTCGGATGTAGAGTCTAGGGGTTAGGGTTTAGGATTTAGGGCTAGGGCTTGTAGAGGAGTAGGATCGTCCAGGGGTTTAGGGACGATTTGTAGGGTTTGAAGTTGAGAGTTTGAGGGTCGTTTTTGGTTCTAGCGTTTGAATGGTCTGCTGGGCTTGGGGCGTAGGACTGACAACCTAATGGCTCAACAAACGGCAACCTCAACCCTAGAGTCCTAGAACCTTAAACCTAGAATCCTAGACAACCTGGGGCCCTAAATAAACCCTAAACCCAACACCCCAAACCCGAAACCCTAAACCTCAAAAACCCTCCTGCACCCCTCAACAGCCCCTGAAGCTCAAACGGGGGGGGGGGGGGCGTCTTGGCGGGCGAGAAGGCGCCGAGCCGGAACAGCATCATTGTCCTGCTCGTTGGTTTCGGCAGCCTGGCACACCTAGTTGCCTAGGGCCCATAGAGCGCTAAGCCTCTACGTACCCTTTTCAGGGCCCATACTAAGTAACTACCCTTAGAGAGGTCCCTTAGTATGGCCCCTTAGACGTGGACCCTTTTGTATACCCCTTCTCTCTCTCTCTCTCTCAAACCCAAAAACCTGCACTTCAGGCCTTTCAAAGGATCAGGGACCAGAATAAGGGACCCTGGAACCACCCTTATGAAGCCCCAAGCCCGAAACCCAAGTTGGCAGTGCGTATGGCTTTGTATGGCTCAAGGGCTTTAAGGGTTATGGGGCCTGTAGAGGCTCATCAGACGGAAAGCTTTGCGAGCTTTGTAGAGTTTGTGGGGCTGATAAACCGAAAGCCCCAAAGCCACAAACTCTTGCACCTGAACACCTAAACCCTAAACCCTAAACCCTAAACCCTAAACCCTAAACCCTAAACCCTAAACCCTAAACCCTAAACCCTAAACCCTAAACCCTAAACCCTAAACCCTAAGAGCAGTGTTCTTATCGCCGGAACAGGTAGGCTTCGATGCCCTGTTGATCTCCTAAAGCCCTGAGAGCGCTCAAAGCATTCAAGTCCTCAACCCTAAACCCAACCCTACAGCTCGGCAAACCATACAACCCCCAAAGCCCCAAGCTCTGCTAAAGCCAACCCTCAACCCTGGGATGTTCCCCCTTGTGGTATAGGGGGGAACATCCCAACCCCAAACCCTTAAGCTCTGCTATAAAGCCAGCCCGAAACCCTAAATCCTCAACCCTAAGCCCTGAACCCCAAAGCCCCTAAGCCCGAAGGCCCCTTAAAATGCCCTGAAAGCCAGGCTGCATCCTCATGGTGCCCGTAGTGAAGATGGCCCGGGGCCCACGACCCTGCTCTTGATGTCGGCCCTAAACCCTAAACCCTAAACCCTAAACCCTAAACCCTAAACCCTAAACCCTAAACCCTAAACCCTAAGCCAAAAACCCTAAACCCTAAACCCTAAACCCTAAACCTTAAACTTTGGATTGGGGGGGGGGGGGGCGGCTTAAGGCTCCGAGAAGCCCTCTCTCGCTCTCTCCTTCAAAGTATCTCTGGATGATGAGTTGTTTAGGGTTTAGTGTTTAGGGTTTATTGTTTAGGGTTTAGGGTTTAAGGGTTTAGGGTTTAGGGTTTAGGGTTTAGGGTTTAGGGTTTAGGGTTTAGGGTTTAGGGTTTAGGGTTTAGGGTTTAGGGTTTAGGGGGGGGTTTAGGGTTTAGGGTTTAGGGTTTAGGGCTCAGGGCTTAGGGCTTAGGGTTTAGGGTTTAGGGTTTAGGGTTTCGGGATTTGAGAGTTCTGGGAAACTGAGAGGGGTCTAGAGTTTGCGGCCGGCTGTGGCCCTGTTGCATTGGGCTTCTTCTGATTTGGGCGTTGGGGCATCTAGCTTGTGGTCCCTTTATCATGGTTATACAGGTATGTATGTATGTATGTATGTATGTATGTATGTATGTATGTATGTATGTATGTATGTATGTATGTATGTATGTATGTATGTATGTATGTATGTATGTATGTACGTCTGTATGTATGTAAATGTGTATGTATGTATGTATGTATGTATGTATGTATGTATGTATGTATGTATGTATGTATGTATGTATGTATGTATGTATGTATGTATGTATGTATGTATGTATGTATATGTGTATGTATGTGCTTTTGTATGTATGTATATATGTATATGTGTATATGTGTATATATGTATATGTGTATATATGTATATATGTATATATGTATATATGTATATATGTATATATGTATATATGTATATATGTATATATGTATATAGGTATTTGTGTGTCTGTGTGTTTGTGTATATATGTATATGTGTACATGTGTATATATGTATACACGTACATATGTATATATGTATATATGTATATATGTATATATGTATATATGTATATATGTATATATGTATATATGTATATATGTATATATGTGTATATGTATATATGTATATATGTCTATATGTCTATATGTCTATATGTATATGCATATATTATGGGAGGGACATAATTATCCATAGCAGGGGTAGAGATGGACCACAACCTAGAGACCTGAGCCTATATCTGTAGGGAGTTCCCCTACGCCCCCGAAAGCCTTCGCCTTGACGGGAGCACTTTCTCGCAGGCCGGTGAGGCCGAACTCTGCGTCCCAGACCCTGAACCCTGAACCCTGAACCTTAAACCCTAAACCCCCAAACCCTTCCATCCCAAAACAGCCTCCAAATCCCTGAAGCCTCTAAAGCCCTAAAAACCCTAACGCCCATCCTCCGTGCACTCTCAGCTCAATGCCACGCACCTCGTGGAGGGTCACCCTAAACCCTAAACCCTAAACCCTAAACCCGAAACCCTAAACCCGAAACCCTAAACCCTGAACCCTAAACCCTAAACCCTGAACCCTAAACCCTAAACCTTAAACCCTATAAACCTAAACCCTGGAGGTGACCGGGCTGCCTCCCTACCTGGGCATGATGATGGCGCTGGGCTCCTTCTGGCTCGTGCGACCCGGGCAGCTCTAAATGGCCATGGGGTTTAGGGGTTTAGGGTTTAGGGTTTGGGGTTTAGGGTTACGGTTTGGGGTTTAGGGTTTAGGGTTTGGGGTTTAGGGTTTGGGGTTTGGGGTTTAGGGTTAGGGTTCAGGGTTTAGGGTTTGGGGTTTAGGGTTTAGGGTTTTAGGGTTAGGGTTTAGGGTTTGGGGTTTAGGGTTTAGGGTTGAGGGTTAGGGTTTGGGGTTTAGGGTTTAGGGTTTGGGGTTTAGGGTTTGGGGTTTAGGGCTTGAGGTGTCGGGCTTGGGGTTTAGGGTTTGGGGTTTAGGGGTTAGGGATTTGGGGTTTGGGGTTTAGGGTTTAGGGTTTAGGGTTTGGGGTTTGGGTTTGGGGTTTATGGTTTGGGGTTTAGGGTTTGGGTTTCGGGGCTGAGGGGTTTAGGGGTTTAGGGGTTTCGGGGTTTCGGGTTTGGGGTTGGGGGTTTAGGGTTTCGTGCTCTTCTAACCCAAACCCTGACGTGATCAAGCCAGAAACCGGAACCCTACGCGATCTGTCGGCTTGTGGTTGTTGGCCTTTGTTTTTTTGGGGAGTGCAGGGTGTGTTTGTGTCCCGACGTTTGGAACAGCCTAAGCCGCAGCCAGTTTTCCAAGAACCCCCAAAAAACCATCCCCTGGAAACCCCAAATCCCATAAGCAAGGGGATGAGGATTCAGGATGTGTAGGTTTGCAGGGTTTAAGTCGGGTTTGTACCTTAAACGCCGTACATGCCTAGTTCCCCAAAAAAGGAGGCCCTCAAAATGGGAAGCTGTAACCCATAATCATAGTCTACTGGCTTTCAAGGTAGGGTTCAAGTTGGGTGCCCTAAACCCTAAACCCTAAACTCTAAACCCTAAACCCTAAACCCTAAACCCTAAACCCTGAACCCTAAACCCTAAACCCTAAACCCTAAACCCTGAGGACGGAGATCTGCGACCTCGGTGCAGAAGTGGCGGCGCGGGACGAAGAGGCACCCGAGGACAAGGAGGCGCCAGTACCCTAGCAAAAAGCTGTGGGTTGGGATGCTCCCCCTTATACAAACAGTCCTTAATAGGGACTAGAGTACCCGTGACTAGAATCCTATTTAAGGACGGTTAGTACACAGGCTGTAGGGCTTCCAGAGCCAGAGCGGCAGGGCGGAATTCGGGCTTTCGAAGGTTCCGGCCAACATGATATACAGCTTCAATGCCAAAGCTCTGAGCTTCTGTACATGACGGAGGATACTCTTCAAACCCCCGGCCAGGGCCCCTGAACTTGACACTCTTCTCGATTCCGCTTTGCTTACCAGGGCCCCGCGCACCACTCCCGCCGGGGCGTGCCTGCGGCGCTGCACAAGGCGAGTCTTCCTTGCAGCTACGAAACCTAGGCCCTGTTGCCTTAACCCCCAAACCCTACACCGCCCAAGCCCTCAACCCAAACCGCTGAACTCACAACCCCAAACCTCCACAAGGTTGGGAATTCTCAAGTGGGCTCTCTCTCTCTCTCTCTCTCTCGATTCAACCCCCCTTTCAGGTGAAGCCCTGCGCTCTCAGTCCTCTCAACCCAAACAAAGACCCCTCAACCCCCCCGGAGCTGTTCCCAAGCCTTGCCAGGTGGACATCAGCAGTCTGCTGCCGCGTGCCAAGATCATTATGTGGGGGTCTGCCGAGGGACTTGCGATGTGGGACCTGCAGGGTTTAGGGTCTAGGGTATGGGCCTTAGGGGGTCTGGAAGGTTCATTGGGCTGTAGTGTCTTTTGGAGGAATTCTGTACTTATGCGGCTCAGAGTTGCCCCGGAGTTTAGACCCTCAGCACGAAAACCCTACAGAAACAGCCAAAAACCGACAAACTGAAGCCCGAACCCTGTAGACGAGGTTTTTCACCGGCGTGCTTCTGGGTGTGGCAGTTCTCGAAGCTGCGCAGGCGCGTGCCCTAGTCACCCTTGTCTCCTTCAACCCCACAAGCTCCCGAATTTCTCCAACTTCAAACCCTCCGACACTCGTCCTCCCCTCTAAAGCCTCAACTCAAAGACCCCTAAACCCGAAACCCTAAACCCCAATCCCTAAGCCCTGAGGTCAGGTCAGAGTGATTTGGGGGTGTACGAAAGAATGGGACCCCAATATTGATCCCCAAATAGTAGGAGCCCCTTAGAATAAGGACCCCAAGAAGGAACCCCCTACTTTCGGAAACACCCATATGAGACAGGTCCTGAGCCGATACTCCAAGTTCATGCGTGAGGTCACCTTGGACAGCTCCCTGGCTCTCCGCACATTCGGGTTTAGGGTGTAGTTTCGGCTTCAGAGGGCTAAGGCTTTATGAAGGTAAATCGGTACATGTCACGTACTCTACGTACATGTAGAGATACATAGTCTGCATATGCAGGGCTAACAGGCGTTGTAGGTGATGAGCTACTCATGCGGCGTATAATTACGAGGTTTCTGGGTTTGAAGGGTTTATCGCATGTCGACAAGCCAGGGCGCCCTGCAACTCCATAGCTTTCAACAACCCACCCTAAACCCTAAACCCTAACCCCAAAACCCTAAACCCTAACCCCTACACCCTAAACCCTAACCCCTAACCCTTAAACCCTAAATCCTAAACCCTAAACCCTGAACCCTAAACCCTAAAACCCTAAAACCCTAAACCCTAAACCCTAAACCCTAAGCTCTCAAACCCTAAGCTCTCAACCCAGATGAACTCCTCCTCTCCGGCCTCCTGGGCGTGTCGTCGGCCGTGGTCGACAACGTTCCGCTGGTGCAGGCCGAAGCCCTTCAATCCTTTAAGGGCTGAAGGTTTAGGGTTTAGGGTTTAGGGTTGAGGGTTGAGGGTTGAGGGTTGAGGGTTGAGGGTTTAGGGTTTAGGGTTTAGGGTTTAGGGTTCAGGGTTTAGGGTTCAGGGTTTAGGGCTGAAACCTTGTATACCTTGTACCATCGGCTAGAAACCTTAATCCCGAACACCCGAACACCCTTCAGACCCTAAACCCTAAACCCTCATCCCTAAAACCTCCCTAAACCCTAAATCCTAAAGCCTTAGCGCTAAGCCCTAACAACCCTAAACCCTGAACCCTAATCCCGAAACCCTGCAAACCCTAAACCCTGCAAACCCTAAACCCTAAACCCTAAACCCTAAAAACCCTACCAAACCCTGTACCGTCGGTCCCAGGCTTCTATCGAGATGTTTGAGGAGCGTGCGCTTGCTGCTAAAAGCTTGAGTTCTTCGGTTCTTGGTAGGGTTTAGAGTTTAGGGTTTAGGGTTTAGGGTTTAGGGGTTTAGGGGTTTCGGGGTTTAGGGGTTTAGGGGTTTAGGGGTTTAGGGTTTAGGGTTCAGGGCTTCCTGGGTTTAGGACGGCTTAGGGTTTTTAGGGCATAAGGGCTTTTGGGATGCAGGGGGAGGGGGGCTTAGCTGCGCGCCAGACACGTGCCCTTCTGAAGAGTCATAGGTTCCAGTGCGCAACTCTGCACGGCCTTTAGACTAGCAACTCAAATGCCCCCTTAACCCTAAAGACCCAAAGCTTAAACACCTAAAGTGAGCCCCAGACCCTAAGCTCCTAACCCTTTAGGGTTTAGGGTTTAGGGTTCGGGGTTTAGGGTTTAGGGGCTAGCTAAACTCCCCACATGCCTGAGACTCGCCAGGAGCCTGTGGACGATCCTCTTTGGCAGCTTGTCGCACTGGGGGCCGGCACAGGTGCGGGGCGTCCCAAACGCGCAGCCAACCCCAAGCCAGGAAGACCCTAAACCCTAAACCCCAAACCCCAAAGCCAAAAGCCTAAACCCTAAACCCTAAACCCTAAACCCTAAAGCCCTAAAGCCCTAAAGCACTAAAGCCTCAAACCCTAACAGGGTTCGGGGGGGGCTGCCCAAGCCCAGCAAATGCCCACAGCCTCCAGTTCGAACGACCAAGAGATCTCCAAAGTGCGCAAGGAGCTTGTAAGGAGAGACTGCGGTTTAGGGTCTAGGGTTTAGGGTTTAGGGTTTAGGGTTTAGGGTTTAGGGTTTAGGGTTTAGGGTTTAGGGTTTAGGGTTTAGGGTTTGCGACATACCAAAAGCCCGAGACCGATTCCTGCGCTGGACGACTTCACATCCTCAATCTTCAAACATTCCAACACCGTAAACGCAAAGCCCTGATCTCTAAGCACCGAAGCCTAAACGGCCCCAAAGCCTACCCCAAACTCCATAGCAACGCAAGCAAAATCCCCAACACCCTCGAGCCCTAACACCCTAAAACCCCGAACGCCCTGAAAACCCTAAAGCCCTAACACCCTAAAGTACCCTAAAGCCCTAACACCCTTAAATCCCTCAAGCCCTAACGCCCGAAAAACCCTTAACTTAAAAGCCCTAAACCCCAACCCTAAACCCTAAACATGAACCCTGAACCCTCAAAGCCCCGAACCCCTTAAACCTAAACTCCATAAACCCTAAGCCCTAAACTCCATAAAGCCCCACCTAAACCCCAACTCCATAAGCCCTAAAGCCCTAGAACTCTAAGACCCTAAAACCCTAAACCCCCTCAACCCTAAAACCCAAAACCCTAAACCCTCAACCCTAAACCCTAGAACCCTTGACTCCATAAGCCCCAAGCCAGGCGGCTCGATGCTTGCCGTCGGCAGTGTGGCAGGCGCGCCCTCACAGGGATTCTTAGGGTTTTAGGGGTTTAGGGTTTAGGGTTTTAGGGGTTTTGGGGGTTTAGGGTTTAGGGTTTAGGGTTTAGGGTTTAGGGTTTAGGGTTTAGGGTTTAGGGTTTAGGGTTTAGGGTTTAGCCTGGACTCCCTTGGGCTTCGGCTGCTGATTCTATTTTAGTGAGGGTTTAGAACTGATTGGGTTTTGGGTTTAGGGCTTGTACGGTTTAGGGTTTCGGGTTTAGGGTTTCGAGTTTATGTTTCAGAAGGTTTATTTGGTTTAGATGCCAGGGCCAAGAGTTTAGGACCTTCTAGTCTTTTTGGGTTTAGGGTTTAGGGTTCTTAGGTTCTAGGTCCAGCAGAGGTTCTGAGGTTTCGGGATCATTTTGCAGCTCTGGGCTTCGTGACGCAGGCTTTGAGTTCAGACCCAAAATTGATCCCTAAACTCATAAAACCCCGAAAGCTGCCTAAACCCTAAACCCCGAAATATTCTATGTGTTCACTTATTGGGTCAAGAGGATCATATCCTTCAGAGGGTTTTCAGGTCCATCCTAGCTAAACTCTAACCCCCAAACCCCGAGTCCCCAAATCCCTATTGAGGGACCTCCGCCAGGCGTGACCCTGATGGGCCTGGAAGGGGTTGGCTTCCTCTGGCCACACGGCCAACAAGGATTTCAGACAGGGCTTAGGAGGTGTGGGGAGGGGTTCCAGAGTTTAGGATGTAGGGTTTAGGGGTTTAGGGGTTTAGGGGTTTAGGGGTTTAGGGGTTTAGGGGTTTAGGGGTTTAGGGGTTTAGGGGTTTAGGGGTTTAGGGGTTTAGGGGTTTAGGGGTTTAGGGGTTTAGGGGTTTAGGGGTTTAGGGGTTTAGGTGTTTAGGGGTTTAGGGGTTTAGGGGTTTAGGGGTTTAGGGGTTTAGGGGTTTAGGGGTTTAGGGGTTTAGGGGTTTAGGGGTTTAGGGGTCAGGGTGTGGAGGAGTGTGCGGCGCAGGACTTAGCGCGCCTTTCTGGCGTTGAGGGCGTTCGGCGTGCCCTCAAATCACGTCGAGCCTAGCCCAACCCTCACAGGCCCCCGAAAATAGGGACCCCAAACAAGACTCCGCCAATCGTCGGATTCCCTGATAAGAAGGACCCCAATAAGGTATCCCTAAATTCGGAAACTCCTATATAACACCCAAACCCTAAGCCCCCAACCCTTGCTCTGCGAAACCTTAAACCATAACCCCCCAACCCACAAACTCCCAAACCCTAAATATAAACGAGGGCCAAGCTCTAAACCCTAAACCCTGCATTCCTAATTCCTAAATCTCTAGGCCCTATTAACCCTACATCCCTAAACCACCCATCAAAATATATAAAAAAAGAGGTCTAAACCCTAGCTATCCCTAGCTCTAAATCCTAAAACCTACATTCCTAAACGGAGGGCCTATTTTTTTGGGTCTTTTTTTTTTGGGGGGGTCTTTTTTTTTTTTTGGTCGAATGTCTTGGTTTTTCCTAAGAAAACCACCATTCCCTCCATTTTTTAAAGGATTTGATGCATTTTCGTGGTTTTTCGTACGAAAAACAGTAATTTCTCTGTGGTTTCATAGGAAAGCGTTATTTCTGGTAGGTTTTAGAAGGAAAGAAGGAAAGAAAAGAAGGAAGCAAGGATGAAAGAAAGGAAGAAAACACGGAAGGAAGGAAGGAAGGAAGGAAGAAAGGAGGGAAGGAAGAAAGGAAGGAAGCAAGGAAGGAAGAAAGGAAGGAAGAAAGGAAGGAAGCAAGGAAGGAAGAAAGGAAGCGTGCTTCGAAGCCCAAGAAACTAGTTGAAAAACATCGTGTGAGCATTGTGTTTGCAAATGGGGGGGGCTGCGCCCCCCCCAACCCCCCCGCTTTTTTTTAAGCCGTGCAGAGCGTGCTTCAAAGCCCAAGAAACTTGTTGACACCCATCATGTGAGCATTGTGTTTGCAAATGGGGGGGGGCTGCGCCCAACCCCCCCCGCTTCTTTTAAGCCGTACCAAGCGTGCTTCAAAGCCCAAGAAACTAGTTGAAAAACATCGTGTGAGCATTGTGTTTGCAAATGGGGGGGGG